CCCCCCCCCCCCCCCCCAAACATTTTACGTCGCACCTTAAAGAGTAAAACTCAAATAAAGAACTATAATAGTTTTCGCAGATTGAAATCTTATTTAAAAGCGAATAATTAATTGACTAAATTTATAGTCAAGGAAAGGAACAGATGGCATCTATTGCCCTTTTTTTCTTTGAAGCGCGAGCGGCGCTTGTCCATTTGGGTAGACAAAAAGTTAAGTAAGTAAGTAAGTAAACTTTATTTAAAGAAGGTTTAAAAAAGTATTTATAAAATATACCAGTTTAGCAAAGCTAATCTTACACTGGGCCTTCTTAAAAATAATAAAATAAAATAAAGTTTGGTTTTAGTCGCCTATCCATCAGACTGTTCAACAACATTCCTTAAGCCAAGTAAAACTCGGCAAAAATCTCGATTTTTTTCTTAGCGCTTAAAAAAAAGCACAAAAATAAAATGTATTTATAGGGAGAATTCAATGAAAACATTATAGATGGAGGGAATTTAAGGAAGATCTTTTTACAATTTTACCGCAGCGCAACGCGCAAACGTATGACATGTAATGTAGGCGCGTTCTTCTATGCCCGGTCCTTTACGTTAAACCGACACAGTTCAATGTAAAGCGGGTTGGTTTTACCAAATCAGAAGGCGTGCTAACGCTCGTTTGGCAAGAAAAAGCCCGTACATAGAATGCAAATACATTATATGTGTTCATACTTTCGCGAGTTGAGCTTAATTGTTAATTCTATATTTTCAGTTGCTTCATACCTATCCCGAATAATGGTTTTTGTCATTTAAATACCTGAGAATAAATTGATAACGTGCGCGCATGCTCTCTGCAAAATAAGTACGCGGGGTTGGCAAATCACGGCGCGTAGCCGAGTATGTCGGGGCTTGGTTGTTGACTAGCTATACCAAGTTGACATTATTTATCACGGTCCCCCTTTGTTGTTGTTGTTGTTGTTTTTAATGTTTTTGGGGTGGGACAAATACAAATTATTAGACATTACAAATACTTTATTAGTATTAACTTGAAGTATATCTACCTGTGTTCATGATTGTATGATACTAGCCATAGCTCGATATGTGCAAATCTCTCTATACAACATGGACTTACAAAATTATATAAATTAATATACTATAATGGTAAGCTTCGAATTTAAACTTCAACACTGTAGTTGTGCATCAGATATATAATAATGCACGGTAGCTTTCTTTATTTTATAATACACATTTACATTAAATGCATTATTTCTGTCTCTGTCTGTTTCTTTTAAGTTTAACAGTCTCAGAAAAATTAGATTTAAAATAGATATATTGTTTCATGCATACTATTATTATATATTATATATTATTTAGAAAACTCATGAATAATTCATGAAGGAAACACAATAGAAATCATGACCATAAAGGAGGTTTTATATCTCATTTAATAAACAAGCAGGAGTGTTTTATCGGGTCTAAAACCACTCGGCTACGCCTCATGTTTTATACCCGATAAAACACTCCTGCTGGTTTATTAAACATTACATACAGTATATTACTGTATACTTTTTTGTATTTTGAAAAGAAAATCTGTGTTCATGCATGTCTAATACTACTACAATGGTTGTGAGGGGGGGGGGGGGGGGACCAAGGGTCCCACCAAATTCTTCTGACAGATTCAACTATAATATTTTACAAATTCGTATGCTCATAAAAAGCACCTTGAACCACTCAAAGATAAAGATTATTTATTAAAGTAGGCTGCAGTAGAAGAACTTTTCTTTGTCCAGGAGGGAGGATGTTTATAAGCAGCATTGATGACATTGCCTTGGCAACATTGGGGGCTAGATGTTTGAAAACACATATTGTATTAAAACTTGAAGGGTCAGTAGTGCTTGTTGCATATGCAACCATTAGTTATGTTCTGAGTCCTTGGTTTAACACATTAGGGTAGGATCCAGGAATTCGTTAACGGGGTGTCCCAAATGAAAAATATATATACAGATATTATGGATCACTTCAAAAAGGCATATGTAAGAGTAACTATAGCATTAGGGGGTGTCCAGTATACCACAGAACACCCCCTGGATCTGCCCCAGGACATAATATAACATATATAACATACATCATGTCACCAGATGATGCTGATGTTCAAAGTCTAAACTATGAGTTTTGATATTTTGCTTTTGTTTCAACTTGACCAATTGAGCAGCTGTTGTATGCAAAATATCAGCCTGTTGTCGGAGAGAATCCTTTTCCTGGAGTTCAGAAATCAGTAGTGTTGACACCTCTGAAAAGAAAAGATTCAATTAAAATCTGTGAAAATAAAAAAATGTTATCAAACCCTGGAATGAAATCCAGGCTGATCAAAGTAAGGGAATGACTAAGTCACAGATCTAACTCTGAAACAACCTGTGGGCTGATCTAAGTCAGGGAATGGCTAACTCACAGATCTACAGTAACTCTGAAACAACCTGTGGGCTGATCTATATATATCTAAGTAAGAGAGTGGCTAATTCACAGATCAAGTCCTGAAACAACCTCTAACTTAATCAAAGTCAGGACATGGCTAACTTACATATCAGATCAGGAAATCCTCCTCTCATTCATTTAAAATACCACAGACTGCCGAGCAATGCAGGCTAGAATTTAGCATGTAGGTGAAATTGCATAGCAGTGAAAACTGGACAACCCAGAGAATAACCCTTGAATCAACGGAAAGTCCTAACAAACTGTTCTCACATGCAATGTCAATAGCCCCAAATGTACAATGGGTATGTGTGTTGGAAATAGTGCAAGTGAAGTGAACATCATGGAATAGCCCCCTACAGAGCGTTATAGTTATCAATTATAACAAGTTTTGACAATTTTATAGTATTAGTAAGACAGGGATTGGAATTGAACACGTAATCACTCTTGCCCATTATTGACGAGTTTAATAGGATTACAATGAGGTGCTTCTATGAGTAAATCCTGACAAGCTACATGGCCTTGAAATGGTGACGCCAGAGCCACAAACTAACGATGAAATGACAAACTGCTCTAATGAATTATCCCCCCCCCCCCTAATAGGGCCTCTACAATTGCCTAATTCACAGGTAAATAATTTGAATAAATGATATATATTATTGAACCTATACCTTCAATTCTTTGCTTGATCTGTGCAATGATATCCTCTATCTCATTTTTGTGCATCTTGTCAACTAAAAGAAAGAAAGTACCAGAGCACAGGTTACTTAAAGATTATGATTTATGACTGTTGCAGGAAAAAATATAATTTCTTATCTATTTTTCCCTGTTTGGTTCTATTTTATTTTGCTTGCATTTTTATATGTTTACCCATAATCATCTTTATTAACTTCTTTGATACAATTGTACTTTCCAACCACCTCTCCCTCTCCTACCCATTTATTATTATGTAAATGTCCCCCCAAAAAATGGTCTCTGAAAAAGAGATAAAAAATTTTTTTCATGGAAATTACTGTCGTGGCTACTTTTGTAAAATAAGAAGATAAGTGTAAATAAAATTCAAAGAATTTAGTAAGTTTTTGAACGTATTGAATTAACTTCAAAAACAAACAAACAAACAAAGCAAAACGAAAACAAAGAAGTATAAATGGATCGAGACATAGCAACTTCAAATGTTTGGAATTATTCCAAATATAGAAAATTTTTATATGGATCAAGAAAAATCCCCAGAAAAGCTCCAGTAAAGTTAACATTAACAATGATTATGTAACACATACGTTGTGCGACAGTCCAAGATGTTTGGAAGATTTCTGCATCCTCGTATTTGTCATTAAGCTGCAAGTCTTTTGAAACATCGAAATCTTCGTCTTCTTTGTCGACAGAGCGAACGCGAAGTTTACGAGCTCTTTCTTCGCATGAACCAACCTCATCTTCGGTTCGTTCTATTCTGTATTCTTCATTAGTTAAGAAACAATGTCTTCGCGAGCTCGTTTTGTTGTTGTTTTGGTTCGAATTCAAGTTTAAAGTTTTCGAATTTTCGACTTGTATCGAGTCATGATTTTTTGGAGCACAATCAACTCGGAGCCAAGTATCATTCGCGTTTGATTCTTCGTGTCGAATTAAGAGATCTTTTATCCTATCCTTCCAGGTTCTTTTTGGAGAAGGACATCTAGCTGTCAGGGTAGCCTGGATTACAGTTTTCCACTTGTGAAGACAATCTTTATGCGCTCGTTTGTAAGGTTCTTTACCATCGACACTGTTCTCTCTCACCTGCAAACATCGGTCGTTCAGAATACAATCAATCAGTTCTTCTCCTGTATCTTGATTACAAATATCACAGGTATTACTCTCTAAGCTAATAGTATCGAATCCATCCATCGGGATACTGCACAAAACGTTCAAGTTAAGATTAGGTCCTGAGTATAAATTACTTTTCGTTGCTTGTCAAAAACATCAACAAACCATGCTGAACCGCACACTCGTGGTAAAAAAAATACCGTGAATTACGTCAGCTCTCTTCAAATTGTTTTCCCGGTAATATTAATCCCTTAATCTCAAATTTACTGCGTTTCAGGAGAAATCAGATCGTAAAAATAACCAAAAAGAATTGCAATATTCAGTGTATAATCAGATTATATTTCGAAGGTTCAATAAAATAAAGTTATTCTGAAGTTGACAGGTAATGTATCCAGGCTGTGACATCACGATGACGTCAAACACCGCCTACACTAAAGGACCACAGGTAGCCCAAGCTTGGTTTCTGTGGTTTCATTTTATAAGGAAATGTATGGGGATTCATCAAAAATTTCAATAAAATCATTGAAACGTGAAATAAGGCCTCGGAATTTTACCCGATCATTGAGAAATAGCACTTCTTTCGCTCTG